TTAATATGGTAGAATTCCCCATTTTTATGTTTATGTTATTTGACATTGCATGTACAGGTTACATCTTCACAGCCAGACTTAATTAAAGTGAAATGGTTCATAATTTATATTTTATATTCTGTGTAAGTTTCTGCATTATTTAAAGATGTCATACTACAAACCCAGTTAACAGTGATAAATTTCTATGGTCTCCATTTATCCCTCTTGTAGTGAGGAATGCAGGTTTTTTGTTGAAAGGAAAAATTTGAAACCTGGGAACTTTTCATTGGGCCCTGGGTTCCAGACTGCTCACAGAAATGTAATGATGAAATTCCCAATTAATTTTTTAGAAGAGACCCAAAATTTCAGGACACACAATTCTTTTACCATTTTGCAGTGCATCTTCCTGCTTGCTTGAATGCCTCTTACTATTAGGCAACAACAGCCATCCATCAGCTGAGTGCTGCCACTTAATACTGATGCAGGTTTACAATCACTGTATAAAAGGAACTTATCTAGCATATAAGAGGTGCAGAAAATGTTGATGTACATGCTTACACTGTTCTAAAGGTTGAGATTTCATGAAGAACTCAAAATGTTTCTGAATATCCTCCTGTATGGGATGTGGGGTGGGTTTTGCTGCCCTTCAGACTACCCCATAAATGAAAGTTGTTTAAGGTAAGATGAATTTCCATGTCAGTAAGCAAATAACATTTCTTAATGGGTTGGTGAGCAGTAGCCAGTAGAGCTCACTTTATTGATAACTTAATGGACACATGCTTAGAATTGTAATCCTGGAAAGTTTTCTCTTAACACCTTTTAGCAGAACCACGGTGTACAGACGAGCTCCTGGTCCCATCCAGCCTCCTCTCCAATGGGCAAAAAAAAAAGGTATCCCTGTAACAGGCCATGGAGGCCCATAGTGTTGTGAGATGTTGAGGCTCCCACATTTTCTAGACAGTTTGCTCACATATGGTGGTGAGGTTGTCAGCCTTATATGCAGGCTGCCCATTATCCCCAGGACTATTCCTGGTACTCATTTCTGTTAGATGCTGAGTCAAACCCAAGGTCATAGTGTGGCTGGAAGGATTAGGTAAATTGAAAAAATCCACTTCATTGGGGTTCGGTCCCGCCACCTTCCAGTTTGTAGCATAGTGCCTCAACCAACTATTCTACCGCATAACCCCCCCCCCCTCCAGTGGGTACGAGCGGAAAATGGTTGGGGCATGAAGCTGACTTCCACTCTTGCATGGTTCTTCATGGTGTGGTATTCAATTAAGCATAGGGACAACTTTTATCTTTTCCCATATCACACTTAAGAAGTATACTGAACTGTGTCACACTGTGATAATGAGTACTTAACATAGTGTTTGACCTAGTAAGTTAGCCAGACCAGTAACACTTGTCTGTACTTTCTGGATGAGCATGATTCCAGTCACAGTCAGGAATTCAACTATACTGGCATGTTCTCTCTCTCTCTTCCCCCCCCCCCTTCAAGTTCCATGCTAGGGTAGTGCCTTAAATTAGGTATCAACTACTTTTACATGTTTCCCTGTTATCTGATTATTTAGTGCTGTACTGTGTGAACATTTTTTTGCAAAGCGGTGTTGTATGGCACACATGACCTAAACAATAAAGGATCAAATGGTGAAATCAATGATGAATTGGAAAGGATTGGAAGGAAACATTCATTGTCTAAGCAAAATACTATCCTGACATTTGCTAGGAGAACTGAGGAAAACATGAGAAATCTCAGCCAGGATATCTGGTGGGATGGGTGAGATTTGAACCAGGAACTGCAATGACACCCTGCGTGATAATGTTTCCAATTCAATTTTAGTATATGTAGCGCCAAAACAGTGAAACCCCAATTTAATATCCTCTGATTAAGCTTTTCCCAGTGTTCCAATTTAAGCGATCCCAGATCAGTCTGATTAATTACCTCCATTTTTCAGGGTTTAGTGTTCATATCCACGGCTACCAAAAGAAACCTTCATTGGGAGTTTCATTGTATATATGTACAGTATATTTGACAATATTTCAGGCTTATTCATTGAAAGATAAAGCCAAAACTGAATGCATGCATGTGAACATGAAGTGTTTCTTTGGCACTCTGTGACATCAGTTAGCGTGGATGTCCGGTGCGTTGACATTTAACTGGTAGGAATTTGCTGAAAGTGGTTATTGGTGACCATTAGCAAGTGACAGGCATCACAATAAGTGAGAAAATGCATTGCAGATGGGTAAGTTCCAGTATGTGTATTCATTAAATTCTGAGAAAAATAATTAATAAACAAAAAATTGTATGCAAGTTGAATTTTGAAAGAAGCTTACATATCAAAATTCACAGGTGGGTGTGCTTTCTATGAAGGGGGCTCTTCGGTGTTTCCATTTTCTGTGGGTCTAATGAAAGGGTCACATGAGGGTAGTATACCAGTTAGATCAGGTAATTTGGCAAGGACTAGAAAGTGAGCGCTACAGGAGGAAAAGGTCTGAATAAAGGAATATTAAACAAGGATTTTGCTGTGTTTGAAGTTCTCACATTTGGGTATCACTAGTGAAGTTTGCATCTGTTCCGGCCTAATATTAATTAAAAATTATTTTTAGGTTAATACATTGTAATGCACATATATGAAGCATACATAAAGAGCTTCAGTAGTTAAGTATTTAAATTCGTATATGTGATGATTGTATCTTATGAGCAATATATTTTGCGCCCCAGACTCCCAGGAGTCATACCTGAGTTTTTCATTGCCTGTGTATATTTATTTTTCATTATAACTGTTGTATCTTCAGGTGTAAGGAGCCCAGAAGCATTACCAATCATTTCCAGCACCATCTCTTGAATATACAAGGAACTTCATTAGTTCAGTCTCCATAAGACTATTTTTTAAATATAGTTTTCCTTCTGCAGTGTATATTAACAGTGTGAACTGTTGATTGATATATATTCACTCAGCTACTATGTCTATATGCAGTTATGTAACCATCAAATGTTGGAATCACAAATACATACATAATTCTAAACATGGTAGTGGCAT